AGGAACATTCCTAAGGCTCCCATAAATGCTTCCTGATACATTACTGCTGCTGGAAGCAGACTAAGTGACTCAAAGTCTACACAGTCCATCTTGCCAGGTGAAATGAATTCTGTCTTAGTGTGGAGTCTCAGAATATGAGCTTTCACCTGTCAGACAGACATGGCCTGAGATCTTCATTCTACCACTTATCAACTAGGTGACCTCAGTATGCTTATCTGGGGCATAAAATAGGCATTAAATAGAAATATTGTCTATCCTGTAAGGGTAGTAATAAGGGTCAGAGATCTGACCCTCAAGGAGCTTAACTTCTAGTAGAAGGGAGGCGGAAAAACCCAAATAAACAAATAATAAAATTTCACATAGGAGTGAGTGAAAGAATGAAACTATATAAGTTAAGAGAGACTCTTGGAGGAGAGAGAGGGCACTGTACTAGAAGGCAGAGAAAACCAGGCACCCAGTGGGGGAAGGAGTATGCCTAGAGAATAGAGAAAATATCATAGGGTCAAGGTATTTGGCATAATAACTGAAATGCTCCAGGCCTTGACATGTGCAGCCTGCCCGCCCCTATGGACCACGTGCTGGCAGATGAACTAGGCTCCCACTTCCTTTATCCCCAGCAAGCAGCCTCCTCCTCTATAGCTCATCCTTGGAGCAGAACTAGCCAAGAGCTCTCCATATGCACATACTTCTGAGCCTGGCCTGGTTTGGAAGGAACAAGGGGATCATTTTGCCAGGGACAAAGAAGCTGAAGGAGAAATGCTCCAAGCTAAGTCTGAAGGGTAAAGCCTCCTAGGAGCCCAGGGTATGTATGGAGTCTTCTGGGCTCCTTGGTGAAGAGTCAGGGGGATTTTCCCTTATTCTGGAAGTTAAGACTTGGTAAGATGGAACTGAGGAGGCACTGTATGCCCAGAGCCATGTTGGGTTCTGAGGTGAGTCGGGGAAAAGGAACTGGGACTGAGGACAGTCCATAAGCACTGACCAAGTGCCTCACTGGTGCACTTGTCTGAACACTGCATATGCATGTATTGACTCCTTCATGCTCTCAATAACCTCTGAGGGAGGTCCTACAGATAAGGAAACTGAAGCACAGGGATGTTATGAAACTCACCCAAGGCTGCTCAGGTAAGGAGTGGTCAAGCTGGTATATTAAACTCAGGTCCTTTCTGACTCCAAATGCTTAAATAGTAATGTTCTTCCCCTTACAAATGCTTCTGATTGTGTTGGAAACCTAAGAGTTTCCATATCTAAGCCACAGAGAACACAATAGAGAATTGATAGGGAGTAAGTAGTCTGAGAGGGCTGAAGTTGTTGAGCTGCAGTGGGCTTGGAGTCTTCCCCTCCCACCCACTGAGCCTTGCCAGAGGCCTTGAATCTGCTAGAGTTATTCACAGACAGGACGTGGCACTCTCCATGGCCTGTGGAATGCTTAGCTTACTGGCAAGCTATCGTCCGCTGGCTATTGCCTGTTTTGTATGGCCTGTAAGCTGAGAATTTTTTCCATTTTTAAATGGTTGGAAAAAATTGAAAGACTATTTCATGACCTGAAAATTACATGAAATTCAAATTTAAATGTCCAAAAATAAAGTTTTATTGGAACACAGCCATATTGACCCATTTGGTTCCATGTCGTCAGTAGTTATTTTTTTCTTTTATATTTAAATTGTTTTTTCTTTCTCTCCAAAAATCACTAGGCAAACCAGCTATTTTCCCACTACAATAGCAGAAAAGGTTTATCTGGAAACCTGAAAGTATTTACCAGTTCACCCTTTACAGAGAAAGTTTGCCAATTGCTGGTAATCACCACTGATCCTGAGCACTTGGCATATAGTGAACATTTTAGGAATGAACGAATGCATTTATAAATACATTGGAATTCATTCATTGGAATGAACAAATGCTGAGGGACTAGGAAAGGAAGAAAGACAAGTAAATAGCGCTCTTTCTTGGGGAGTCACCTAGTTTGGGAAGCAGGAGACCCCTTGAGAACACCAGATTGCAATTAGTGAAGAAGCTGTTTTCTCCAGGCTTCTTCCCTGTCCCCTGCCTCTATACCAGGTGGCCTGCTTTCCAGGGAACGCTGACCTGAGCCACCTATTTTGTTATAAATCCGGAGGGAAGTGCCAGGGCTGGTACCAAGCCAGTTAGGCTCCCAGAGCAGAGGCAGGAAGGGAGGCCACCAGTGGGAGGGGAGGCAAGATGGAAGAAGCCACAGTAAGCTGAGCAGTGGACCTCGGCTGAGTGGAGAGGAGACCTAGGTGTGGTTCCACATACCAGCCACTAGGTGGCGGAGTGTCCTGGGCCAGGGCCCTGCTCTGAAAAGGCTTTCTGCTGCCCTAAGGACTTCCATCTGGGCCTCTCCTGAAGTAGCACCTCAAGGCTCCTCACTCAAAAGTCCTGGGGTGTGACAGCGTGGCTGTGATACTGACAGTCCACATTTGTCCACCCAGGCACTGTGCTAGACACTTCACTTTCACAGATTCATTTAACTCTCATAGCAGCCCCACAAGGTAGGCAACATTATAAGCCCCATTTTACAGACCGGGAAGCTGAGGCT